TGCATTTTCCTGGGGAAATTTTTATGTTAACCATTTGCTTTTCCTCTTTTGAGAATTGCTCGTTTAGCACTTTTGCTTATTTTTTCGCGGGCTGATTGTTTTTCTCTTATCCGTTTATAAATCAGCATCTTATTAGGAATGTGTGTTTATCCCAGTATATTATGGGTCTTTTGGCTTTACCATCGTTCTCATGGAAATTTTTATATTGTTACGCAGTATGTTAGTATTTTCCTTTACTGTGTCTGGGTTTTTTGTTTTTGTTTAAGATTTCCCCTACCCTCATCTTACAGAAAGATAGGCTATCACATTTTCTTTATCTATTTCTCTCTCTTGTCAGATATTTGATTTGCCTTTCTTTGTTTAGTCTGATGTGAGGTATGGGTCTTCTCCCAGATGGACATCTAGTCATGCCAGCACCATTTTTGATCAGAACCATCCTCTGCCCACCAAATCGAAATCCCGTGTTTATGTTATTTATTTCCTCTATATTCAGAGAGACTTTCCCAGTATGCCCTCATTTCTTTTTCTCTTGAGCTGGTTCTGCTTTAAAATATTTCAATGGGATTATTAGATTGCTGATACCATTTTTTAGACTCGGCCTTTCATATATTTTCTTTCTTATATTTCATATATTTTTCTCTGTTCTTGAATTTTATTGTATTCTCAAGGCAGATTGCTATCAAGCGTATGATTCTGTTTCCTGTCATAAATGTATAAATGTCTGCTGTCTCTTGAATGCAGCTATTCTCTTCATTTTATATTATGGAATATATTCATAGGTCAGGGCACGTCTTGGGACAGAACCGATAATTGTCCATCCCTTATTCTTGCTTAAATGGGTGAATGTGTCAGGACCTGACATTTGCCCAGGATCCATGTCTATAAGTTCTGCTTAGATCCGTACCCACTTTCGCTGACTGCTATTAAAATCTTAAACCAGAAGGGAGGCTCTTTAAGGTAAATTTATGTTACATATCAGAGGCACAGAAGCTCAGATGGAATACAGAGGAAGAATAGGTTCCTAGTGGGTGAAATTCATCTGTGTACATTTCCTTCCCTGGAGAAACTGGAATGTGGGATCCAGCATTCTGGCCTAGTTTTGCTTGGCCATTGTCTATTCTAGGGATGTCCCATGGCTCTTCTTAATCTGCCCCTTTTTGCCACTGTCCTTTTACCTGGGATAAACCATCTCTGGCCTCCTCGGACAGTCCTATCTTAATGTCACTGAGCCCTTGCAGGAAGAATGCTCTGCGTGCCCAGGGCTTCCCCCACTCCTCCCAGCCCTGGCCCTCTAGAGAGGGGACCTCACTGGAGTTTCCCCACGTCTTCATTTACTTTGAAAGGGAATTGGGGATAAAGCCTTAGTATTTACTTTCCATACCCCCCACCCCACTTATTCTCTGTGTAGCAGAAATTCCTCAAAGTCTGAGCCACGTAGATGATCTCTTCCTGTAGCTTCCAGTGCTGACGCCGGATTTTTACGATTCTTACTGCTGGGATTTGGAGACGAAGATGCTTGTGTTCCAACTGCTGTCTTATCCTGTTTGTTTTATGTTTATTTTGAACATGAAATTCGAAAACGGAGTTCAGAAAAACACGGATACCTGAGAGACAGAATACTTAACTAATTTCTCTCTCACTCGAGAGCTACAGACTTCTCTTAGATTTGTTTCATGCCTAACAGTAAGAAACATTTTGAGAAAATTGCGTTCCAGGTTAAGGGCATACATTGAGCAAGGGCACAGAGACAGGACGTACAAGGAACAGAACTTGAGGTAGCTAGGCTTATGGTCCGAAAGCAGGGTGGGTGGAGGGGAGTCCTAGGTGAGAAGTCTCTCCATCACCAGGAAGGGCCTGGAGCTGGGCTTTGTTCAGTTTTTCAAGAAAGAGCCCTTGCAAACACGTGATCGACATGACTGACCTTCTTTATGGATACTGATCTGCCAGTTGGGAAGGTAGCCGTTGTAATGTGACATTTCCCAGAGGTAGTTGACTTCTGAATACGTTGAGTATGTACAAGAGCTCACATATCCTTGGATCAAAATAGACACCACCGCCAGGTATCCTGTATGATGAAGTAGGTGCTGGGGAAAACCCACACCGTTTGAAGACCATTCTGTAACCAAACAAGGAGACCAGTGAATTAGAGAGATTCGATAACATTTTTAAAATAAAAGGTAACTGCAGACACACGTGCATATATATGTTTAACTTATAACAAAAGATAGATAAGGTAGACCAACAGTGAGTGTGGGACATGGTCCTTGCTTCCAACTGCCTGTCACTCTCAATTATGCGTTGCTACTTCCTAAGAGCAGATTTTTACATAAAAATAAGAGCAATGAAATACTGATAGTATTTTTAAAAATATGTGTTAAAATAGTTTTTAAGAAGAAATACCATCAGTATTATTTTTTTAGATATGCCTGGAATGCCTCACAGGACACCCAGGCCTCACAGAAAATCTGAGAAAGCCGTGGTCAAACAGAGCTGGAGTTGCGTCCCAGATTCACTGTTTACCCTCCAAGTGACCTTGTCAAATTTTCCATCTAAAATAAGGGATGATAACTTACAGGCGTGGGTTGTTTTTTTTTTTTTTTAATTAAATTAGATAATTTTCTTTGTTTTTTTAAAGACACATGGTACTTACTATGGAGTTATACACATTTTTTTTTTTTTTTGGTGTGAAAATTATCCGTTGTTATCATGGCTTTACATTCTGGGAGCAGATGGAAACATGCCTTACTTGGGGTGTTTTCAACATGGCGCCCAAGCACATGGTGGATGTGTCGTCTGAGATGCCCCAGAAGAAAGAGGGTCTGGTTCGACGCTGTAGGGAAACTGAACGCCCTAGGCTTATTGAAAGCTGGTATGTTTGTGTGCAGTTGTACCTTCAAAACCATGGACGCTGTACTTCTGGGTGATTTAGGGGATTTTCGAGGCTCACCTTGACTCTATATACGTGTGGTTTTTGTTTTACAGATTGACCTTCGAGTCTAACATCTGTCTTCAGGAGGCAATAGCTAACCTAGAACAGATCCTTAACCAGTAGTGGTACCTTGAAGGTTTTCCTTTATTTAATGAGTTTGCTGCTGTACACCTGGCTGTATGCTTAACATTTCTTAGTATCCTTTATAGAATACGGAGTCTTATTTTTCCCTGGACCAGAGAAAATGTAATACTTCATTTCTTGCCAGAGTTGTTACTGGTTGATCCCAGGCAATCGTACGACAGGCTGGTGTAAAGGAATTTCAAATCTATTTATGATGAAAGTACTGTACTAAATAAAACCAATAGCGTTCTTAATAACTGCTTTCTATGGTTGTTCAATTCAGGCTTTGTTTTGTGAATCCCCTTACCCGCCCCACCCCACACACGCTTGCACACACACACACATACACACTCACACGCACATCCCTGTTACGACCTGGGGGGTGTTTAGTTCAGCAGCTTCTCTGATCTTAAACAATTTGCAGAGTTTTCTCAAACTGACTTCCTGTTCTGGCCAAGCAGATTGATCCGTTGAAATATGGTCTTTGGGTATCTGAAGGCAGGAGGACTGGGAATTGGCTCTTATCACCTTGCTGGGTTCTTACGGAGTCCAAAGGACTCCTGTTTATTATTTGATATACGGAATCACAGAGAAACTTAGGTAATTGAAGGAAACGCTTGAGCAGATGTAGAATTGCTTTCATTAAATTATCAAGGAATGAGACAAAAACGAATTTTTAGACAAGATCTCCCTTTGAAGGGTGCCCTGAGTTTCTGCAAAGCCCTTGGTAGCTGGTCCTTTAAATGGGCTGGTGAGAAAGTGGCCCACTTTGTTTCCGACCTTCCTTGGAATGGCCGGTTTGGAAATTGGAGATTTTTTTTTTTTTTCCTGCTTATACCTAACCTGATTTCATTCTCTTTCTGCATCTTCCACACCTGATTTTATACTGCATAACACACCGGGGAAAATACAAAAAAACCAACTCATTCAATTAAAAAATTTTCTGAAATTCCTGATATTTTTTCAAAGAAGTCATCAGTGTCTTGGTTTTTTTTTTTTTTTTACTCCAAAGAAGGGGCTGTGGAGACAAAGGTGTGGTTAAGTTCTGCTTCACTTAAACGTTTTCTGTTCACATTGATCACAAAACAGAAGGAAGCTTCGAGAACTAAGGACAGGTAAATCCAACCACTGAAGCTTATGAGAACTGATCCCAAAAGATCAGTAAATAAATATTTTAAACTTCCACTGACCTTATTAAAATACACTGCGAGAGATACTCTGTTTGAGCCATTCTCATAAATTAGTCATCTTCTTGCAAAACAGCTGGTGGCAGTTTGCTATAATAAAAAGAGCAGTGCCTCAGCGGAGCCTCAAAATCAGGATGTCAGCTGCCTGGCTGGAAAGCTACCCCCTCGGTTACCAACAGGAAATGCCCTGTGCCCTGCCTCCCTGCCCCTGACTCGGGTCCCGATCCAGGTCTTGTCCTCATCTTTCTGATGGGTAGAATCTAAATCTGAGCTCCTAGGTGCAGGGGAGTCCTGAGATGACATCTTCCCAACCTCTGTGTCTCAAATGGGGGTTGGGATATACCCTCTGAGAAGCCAATCCATTGTATCCACCATGGACAATATAGCTACACGTTTAGGATAAATAACATTTGTATTTATTTATTTATTTATTTATTTATTTATTTATTTATTTTTGTAATATACAGAGTCGAATTAAGATCCTTTTTGTTTAGAGCTAATGTCAAGTCACACTGCCTCTAAAAATACTATTACTGGCCATTCCCAAGGAAACGTCTGGGATAAAAATTGAGAGCAAGACCTATATTATTTCCTGGAGAGGCAGACCTGATACAGAAAACAGGATTTGAAACTTGGGATCCTCCTTCCAGATTTGCTTTTCCATTTTGGTTCTGTTTTCATCTGTGTCTCTTCCCCCGCGCCCCCCCCCCCCATGGGACCATCCTCCACCTTTTCAACCGGATGTGCTCTTTACCACGCAGACCTGTGAACGAAGAGTCGGAGCCGCCCGAGGTCGAGGCTCCCGGCCGGTGGCATGGCATCTACGTGAACAGAACGTCTCCAACACCTTCAGAATCTGCGACCACCGTTAAGTCCCTCATCAAGTCATTCGACTTGGGACGGCCAGGTATTTATCCTTCCATCTCATGAGCAAAAGTCACATTCAGACTGTGGTCCCACGTATCAAGCCTGTCTCTACTCCCCACTGGCCCCGAATGGATGCAACCACAAGGGCTGTGTCTGGATCATTCCACGCGGAGCCAATGTGTCCAAGAGACCTGCCCACAGCCAACTGCACAGACTCAGTTGCACAGTGTTCCTCAGTTTCCTAGGAAATGAAGCCTCTGGTTGGCACAGCTCATTCTCATGAAACGCTAAGAGGGAAGTGGTAGTAACCTGAGTTTAATGGACACAGAGGCAGAAAAGGAACGGAAGAGGTGGAGAGAAAGAGGAGATTGTGTTACACCAGACTCCTGAGCCAGACTCCTCACTGTCTTCTTCCTGTGCAGTTGGCGGTCTCGTTGGACCCCCGGCCTTCCTCCCCTCCCCTGTTAGACTTTTCTCTGCCTGGTCTTGGGTGTGAACACCTTGGGTGCTGACCTGTCATTCCTGATCTTGAACATTCCCAGCTTTTTCTAGAAACGTCTCTCTGGCTCACCATTCACCTTTCTTCACTGTTATCTACATATATGAGAAAAATGCTTGTCTATACACACAAAAACGTAGTAAATAAAAGAAACTGAATACGCATCTGTCCAAAATAGCAATGTATTTCTTCTCTCGAGCACAACAGTTAAGCCTGTCGTATAGAGAGACTGGAGTCAAAGCTGATGCTAGGATGTACCTGGTTATCTTCACTAAAATAGTTCGCAGCTCAGTTAGATTAAGATGAGACCACGAATGTTAAAAGATGCGAAGGCCCAGTGACTACATTCAGTCCGTGAAGATGGGAAGTGAGTTAACAATAATGGTTTGTGCAAGAACTTTCCTGTTCCTTCTTGCCATAGATGCCTCCTGACCTGTGTTTTCTTGTCCCCCGTTGTGTCCCACCTCTAAGACCAACCCCCATTGAGTCGATACTTTTGTAGTAACAAATCAGGAGCTACTCTTTGCTATTTGGAACTGGAACAACATAGAAATGTTCCCATCTCTTTTCTTGGCAGGTGGAGCCGGACAGAATATTTCTGTCCATAAAGCCCCCAGAAGTCCTCTGAGTGGGATTCCAGTGAGGACCGCTCCCGCCGCTGCTGTCTCCCCAATGCAGGTGTTTTGAGGGCCTTGGGTATGTGGGTGGTGGTCCAGGCCATGTGGAACCGTGATGCTCTCTAATGCTCAGGCAACAGAGGGGAAGGGAAAACCACTTGGTCTATTTTTTGAGGCACGTTGAACATCATTTTTAATACGCGTACAATAATAATAAACTTCTGTTAAAAATTATGATTTTGTGGGGTGCCTGGGTGGCTCAGTCGGTTGAGTGTCTGCCTTCGGCTCAGGTCATGATCCCGGGGTCCTGGGATCAAGTCCCACGTCGGTCTCCCTGCTTGGCGGGGAGCCTGCTTCTTCCTCTCCCTCTGCCCCTCCCCCGCTGCTTGTGTTCTCTCTCTCTCAAATAAATAAATAAATAAAATCTTTTAAAAAATTACAATTTTAGGGCACCTGTGTGGCTCAGTTGGCTAAGCGACTGCCTTCAGCTCAGGTCATGATCCCGGAGTCCTGGGATCAAGTCCCACATCGGGCTCCCAGCTCAGCGGGGAGCCTGCTTCTCCCTCTGACCCTCTTCCCTCTCATGCTGTTTCTCCTCTCGCTTGCTCTCTAATAAATAAAATCTTTAAAAAAAATTAAAAATTAAAAAATTACAATTTTGAGGCTAAATAAAGGTGTGAGAGAGACACCATAAGTCTCATACGATTTGTTAATGACATTTTGTCCCCCATTAGATACATTTTAAGTTTTCAGTTCAGTGAAGATTATAATTTTTACCAGAAGTGGATATTGAACTAGATATTTTTCTCAAAGAAGTGTTTGGTTTGGTTTGGTTTGGTTTGGTTTTCTAAAGCACCCCAGGGAGAGAAAATGTTTACGATTTATAAATTCTTAGGGTTCACTGGTTGCAATCTGTCACCTTTGCCATCTTCAGACGGTTCTAGATCAGAGCTTCTTGACCTCTTGGTATTTTTTCTTTTTCTTTTTTTAATTTTATTTTTAAGTAATCTCTGCACCCAACATGTTCACTCAGAACCCCAAGATCAAGAGTCACATGCTCCACGGACTGAGCCAGCCAGTCGCCCCTCTTGGCGTTTTCTAAGACCACGACTTTCAGTGTTATTAGTAACATTCAGCAGCTCCTGATAAACCAAGGGCAGCGTCATTCACTAGTACCCTCTTTTGGTGTCCTTAGTAGCCATGTATGTTGTCTGGGATCTTTTAAATTTTTCTTGTTTTTACTTTTTTGCCCTGGAAGACATTTTGTGCTACTTCATATGTAAAACCAAGTAAAACAATTACTTATTTTATAATGATCATCAAGTTTATTTAATGAAACTGAAACAGATCATGCTTCATTTTGACTTATTTTCATTGAGCTATACACACTAGGTTGCTGACAAAATGTTTAACAACTGGCTCATTGCCGGGGGGGGCAGGGTGGTGCAGGGGGAGCCCGGGTTTGTGATGTTGGCCAGTTTCCATGGTGCAAATATTCCCATCATTGTCAGCATCAAGCTAGGCCCCTGACGTCAGTGAACATGGAGCTGAGAAGAGATATGTATCACATGGTATTTCTAGACCACAGGTAGAGTGGGTGTAAATAACCCCAATCATAGTGTGAAGTATCATAAATAGGAAGCATTTTGAGTATTTATTACTTTTGCTTTTAATATAGTTTATTTTAATAGTGAGCATGTTGAAAACTAGCTTGCAAATTCCTGAAGATTTAACAACTGGCCTTTACGAGCAGGTACACACCACCGGCTATAATTCATGGATAAAGTAAAGCACACGCCCCTTATATGTGTACAGCTTAAATGTTTCCGTATACACACACCCGTGTAGCCAACAGCAAGATAAAGCATTCATCAGCTCAGGAGGCCCCCTCATGCCACCACCCAGTGGGTAATCCCTTGAAGTAGCCATCATTCTGACCTCTGTTAGCATTAGATTAATGTTACACTGACCTGATCAACGTAAAAGAGAGTGAGTTAGGGGCGCCTGGGTGGCTCAGTTGGTTAAGCGTCTGCCTTCGGCTCAGGTCATGATCCCAGGGTCTTGGGATCGAGCCCCATGTCCTCCTTGCTCATGCTCTCTTCTCACTATCTCTCTCTCTCTCAAATAAATAAATAAAATCTTAAAAAAAAAAAGAGAGAGAATGAGTTAAAAAATCTCCCATGCTCCCTAGCCCCAAAATAACCACTGTTTACAGCTTGTTGTATATCCTTCTAGATGTTTTTCTTCAGTATAAAAATGTGTGTGTGTGTGTGTGTGTAGGGAGGAAGACAAAGTTTTATAAATTGGATTATACTGCACATTGTTCAGACACTGACTCATTTCACTTTGTCATTGGAATGTAATCCCTGAGGGCAGGGATTTTTTTTTTTTTAAGACTGAGAGGGAGTGGGTACATGTGTGCGCACGTGAGCAGGGGGTAGGGGGTAGAGGGAGAGGGAGAGAGAGAATCTTAAGCAGGCTCCACACCCAGCACAGAGAGGGCAGGGATTTTTATCTATTTTTGCTTGCTGTTGTGTCTCTTGTCTGGAACAGTGGCTGGCACACAGTTCTATCACAGTAGAAGCTCGGCAAATGTTGAAGGAATGAGAGAATATATCAGAGACATCTTGAGATGTCAGTGTTTGGAGAATAACGCATTCTTCTTAAAGGCTGTGGAATGTGTGGTGATCTGTTTAACCACCCGCCTACTGATGGGCATGTAGGTTGTTTTGGATTGCAAAAACAATACAGTGAAATCCCTTCTATGGATTTTCACCCACTTTTAAGGGGCTCTTCCCGCAGGAGAGCATATCAGCATTAGCTTGCAAATACCGGAAATCACTCTAGCTCGTCCCCGCAGAAAGGAATTGAATACAGGGAGAACTCGTCTCCACTGCGCTTCCAGGAAAGGTTCCCAGAGCATCTCAAAGTTGGCCCATGAAAGGGACTTCTGTTTCTGCCAAGTCTTTCTCTAAGGGCTTGCCTAGAACTATGGCTTCTGTCAAAATTTAGCATCCGCTTTGGGCTCCCGCCGCCGCAGACGCGGTCCCTCCCAGCATAACAGATTCCGTCCTCCCGGGTTTGTTCACATCGTAGCCCGTGTGACCGGATTTCCTTCTTTTTAAGGCTGAATAATATTCCATTGCGTGTACAGACCGCATCTTGCTTATCCGATTCATTGGTCCATGGACATGTAGGTTATGCCCACTTCTTGGCTCTTGTGCCTAATGCTGCTCGTAAAAATCTCTTCTAGATTCTGTTTCAGTTGTTTGGGGTATATACCCAGAAGTGGGACTGCTGGATCGTACAGGAGCTCTGTTTTTAATTTTTTGAGGAACCTGCCTACTATTTTCCATAGTGGATGCAACATTTTCTAGTCCCGCCAACAGTGCACAAAAATGCCAATTTTTCCACATTTTTGCCAACACTTGTTTTCCCTCTCTCTCTCTCTCTCTCTCTCCTTTTTTTAGATAATGACCCTCCTAACAGGTGCGAGGTGGTATCTCACTGTAGTTTTTTTTTTTTTTTAAGATTTTATTTTTTTATTTATTTGACAGAAAGAGAGAGAGACAGCTAGAGGGAACACAAGCAGGGGGAGTGGGAGAGGGAGAAGCAGGCTCCCGGCCAAGCAGAGAGCCCGATGCGGGGCTCGATCCCAGGACCCCGGGATCATGACCTGAGCCGAAGGCAGACGCTTAACGACTGAGCCACCCAGGTGCCCCCTCACTGTAGTTTTTAATTTGCATTTCCCCGATGATGAGTGAAGTTGAGCATCTTTCCATATATACCTCTTGGCCATTAAAAATCAGTATTTTTACACACCCCCCCTGGGATATATGTAGAATTTTCCAGGAAGGTACTCACAAAGCTGACTACTAATGATTACCCCCAAAGAGAAGAACCAGGTCATGGGAGTCAGAGGGAGACTCTTCTCACTATATGTCCTTTCTGTGCCTTTTTGAGCATTGCGTCAACTGCATTTGTTACCTATTCAAATAAATAAGTGGTTTTAAAAGCTTCCCCTGGTGATTCTGATGAGCTCGAGAGCTGTTGCCTGGACGCGCACACACACACACACACACACACCTTGTTTACGCTGTTGCTGGTGTTACAAGCTCACTAATGCTGGTGTGCCCTTTGGTTTTTTAGAGACATTCAACCTACAGCAGCGTTCGGCCGGCCAGCAAAGGTGGGACTCAGCGTTTGGATCTTCCAGACCTTCCCCTCTCAGGTAATACCTTAAACAGCAAATGCTTCGGGGATGCCTGGGTGGCTCAGTTGGTTAAGCATCTGCCTTTGGCTCAGGTCGTGGTCCCAGAGTCCTGGGACTGAGTCCTGAGTCCGGCCCCTTGCTCAGCAGGGAGTCTGCTTCCCCCTCTGCCTCTCGCTTCCCCTGCTTGTACTTACTCTCTCTCTCTGACAAAGAAATAAATACAGTCCTTAAAAAAAAAACTAAAACTAAAAAGCAGCAAATACTTTCGACTCATTATTTTGTGAGGTCAACTTTTCTTCTTTACCCAAAACCGAGCTTAGAAAAATAGTTGATGGCATTTATTTCAAACAATTTAAGACTCTATGTATTTGCGTTCTGGACGTTAGATCCTACTTCTTGCCACTGTACTTCTCAGTGTGCATGTGTTCGGGAGAAATGTCTAGCTTTGGGGAAGTTTTTTGTTTGTTTTTTATGGAATCTCAAGAGAATATCTTACCATCTTTAAAAGTAACTATTTTTAGAAAAAAAATCTTACCTGATTCTGAAGGTCCCTTGCTTCCACAATTCCTAAAATATGCCTCTTTGGTGATATCTTTGCCCTTGAGTGTAGCCCTCCTCCTGTTGTTACTCCGGGTATTTTTAAAATCCAGATCCTGACGATGACGTGGTGGTTAGAATCCACAGTCCTCCGTGTCACTTTGTCACTCCTGCGCCTTGTGCTCTGGTGACCGGTGTGAAGCCGCAGTTACAGAGGGGGGCACACAGGGGTGGGCTTGCATCTTGGCCCCATTATTCCACCTCTCTGGGCTGTGGTTTCATCATCTCTGAAATAGAAATAGTGCTGTCTCCCTCAGAGGATCGCTCCAGGGGCTGAACAAACACAGCCGGGTGTGGGGTGAGCAGAAGGGTTGACCTTCACCTTAGCTTCTCCTCCCTTTCCCATCAGTTCACCTGTCAGAACAGAGAGACATGAGTGGAATGGTAAGCTTGTCCCAAAAATATGCCTCAGAAGTGTATGTATATGACCCTGTGGCCCTTGTTATAAGGCAACACAAAAGATGAACAGTAAACGAATTGTTTACTGGTGCCTATTGGAAGAAAGCCAGAAATCCAGGTTGCATCGATAGAAATCCCTTGTTTTTAAGTGTCAGACCAAATTTCTGTAACACAGCCACGGAATCAAAAGGAATTCCCACTGTTCTTCTTTTAGATCATGGTCAGACATAGTCAGGTTTATTCTTAAAATAGTTGTTTCTATGAGATAAAAGTTTCACTTTTTGACTGGAAAGTCTTTTACCTCACCACCTTATTTTTTTCCACTTCTGAATTTCGTTTTCTTTTTCATGGTATAAAAAGATTTTAGTCTTAAACACTGATACTGAGAATTTGAAGGCTACCTCAGCCCATCCCTTGCATTTTACACGTGAGAGATTCAAGCCCTACAGAGATTAAGTGATTTATAACGCCCCTCCCCGCCCCCTGATTTTGAATGGCTCTGGGACCAGGATAGGATTTCTTCTGATTCTTTCTACCATGCTGCCTTTTGGTAATGAGGCGGGGGGATTGCTCTGATCAGCAGCCTCATAAAGAAGTGATAAAGGTTTCTTATAGGACTTGGAGTCATCATAATGACTCCGAGGAAGAAGGAAATGGTGTCTAAGGGCAGGAGAACAAGAAAAAACCAGAAGGGGTGAGTAAGTCCAGCAGAGCAGGTCATGGTATTTCTGTGCAAACCGAGCGCCCCCTTCCTAGAAATGGACGGGAGGTCAACACAGGGTATTGGAAACCCACCTGATTTGCGTTCTCTACACTTGCTGTGTAGTGGAAAATTGGGGATAACTTGGTTATGTGCACAGTGATGTGTACCTAGGCAAGCCCTTTTTTTTTGTAACTGTGACTAAAATACGCATAACACAAAACGTACCATCTTAACCATGTTGAAGTGTACCAGGTGAGCTTTTCGTCATAATATTTGTGTCTTCTCTAAGCCTCCCACTTTACCTTTTGTGTAAAGAAGCTGTTGTTTTAATTGACAAGCTAAATCCTGGTGCTCAAACCCCCCAGTAGCTATTGCCCTGAAGTAAACAGTTCCTTGTCAGCACCCCCTCCCCCTTTGCCCCCACCGGGCACCTGTCTACCGGGATGATTCTATTTACATTACTAAAAAAGGATTACACGGTAAAAACTGCTTTGCTTTCAGGCTAGCCTTGCCAGCATTGAGGTCATCAGAAGCTGCCAAAATGGGATTAATGCACTGTTTTTGTTGTTCTCTTTAGTGATGTAAGCACTGTTTTTCCTCTCCTCTTCCAAGCTCATTAGCCTCACTCCCCGCTTCACGCCCCATAATTGGCGGCTCTTAGCCGTACAAGTATTGTTTTCTTCCATCACTACTTATGGTGTCATAGGAGGTGACCGTGGGCTCAGCCTGGTCACAGAGGCCTGTCGTGTGGCATTGAGCAAGTCATCCCATCCTCTGAGCGCCCGTTGCCTCTGTCAATACAAACCAGACGCTATGGAGATTTTCTCCCGTTCTGTGCTCTTGTGGTCCTTGAGGGACTATCATCCGGAGGATTCAGCCTGTTTCGTTAACCTGTTTTGACTCCTACTAAAACAGCAGAGAGGAGCCTTCAAAGAATTTATGTTTGCTTATTTTTAGCAAGCCAGACCCTATGACTGGAGTGGCTTTTTTTTTTTTCTTGTAAAATCGTTACCGTTCTTGGTACCCAGGTTTCTGTCTGCTGCCACCTCTGACTTGAAAATCCCATTGGGCATCTTCCTGCCAGCTCTCTGTCTCTCTCAGATGCCCATCGACTAAAACAAAGTGCTTTACTTGGGAACAGGGCTGGCTCTGTGGGGGTGTGACCTGTGCAGGGTGCTTAGAAGGGCTTTGGCTCAAGACTCTGGAGGTGCCATCTTGAAATTCTTAATAATTTTTGAACGAGGGGCTAATTTGGCATTTGTGTCTATGAATTATGTAATCGGTCCTGCCTGGAGAATCCTTTCTAGAAAAGGCCATGTCCCTATGTGCATTTTTATTCCTTAATCCAGAAACTCTCTATATTTATTACATATTTGTACTTAGGAAGAAAATGAGAATTCTTTTGTACTTGAGAAGAAAGTGTGGTGACCCTTCAAATTTCTCGTCTTCAGGAATAGGTGATTATGTTGTTCTTCACACAGATCTCCTAAAGGGAAGGGGTGAGGACCTGAAACCGGACCCTTACCTCCGGAAGAGTCCCTCCCTGGAGTCTCTGAGCAGACCCCCTTCTCTGGGCTTCGGGAGCACGAGGCTGCTGAGCGCCTCCACCGGGGGCTTGAAAGCACAGAGCAAACTCAGGTATCACGTTTTACACAGTGAGACGTCACTGGGCAGATGACCTTGTAGTCTTCCTTCTGTTTTACCCCCTGTGGTCAATTTACTTGAATGTGTATTTCCGGAGTGAAACCAGACACAGTACCTGCCTTCAACGAGGGAGGAGGGCCCTGGAGAGCAGGACTGTGCAAAGCGAAAGAAGGGCTGTAAAAACAGAAATACACGCAGACTCTTGCGGGGGTTGTTACTTGGGTCAAGAAGTCTGGAGGTGGGGAGGCAACATTTCTGCCAGGGGGCCTGCAGGGGTCCCCGGAGGAGCTCTGCACAACATTCAGGGGACTGGGGGTGGTTTCCTTTGGTTAGACTAGCCTGGGGGCTTCAGGAGGGGAGGGGCCCTGGCAGACACACCATCAGCTGCCGGTATCTGCTGGGGAGGCGGGTAGGTGCTCAGGATATCACGGCTGGAAAGGCGGGTTGGAGTCCCCTTGCGAATGGTCTTCATTGCCACGGTTAGAGGTTTGTACTCATTTTGGTAAAGCAGTGGGAACCAGTAAGTTTGCAGGATTTGTTTTGGTTTTTTTTTTAAAGGTTTTATTTATTTATTTGAGAGAGAGCACATGAGAGGGGGGAGGGTCAGAGGGAGAAGCAGACTCCCTGCCGAGCAGGGAGCCCGACGCGGGACTCGATCCCGGGACTCCAGGATCATGACCTGAGCCGAAGGCAGTCGCTTAACCAGCTGAGCCACCCAGGCGCCCAGTTTGCAGGATTTGGATTTGGATTTTGAGTAGTGGTCCAGGAAACAGTGGCATATAGGAAGGATTGGAGGGGCATTTTGAAGTCAGCGTCGAAAGAGCACATTAGCAGTGATGTGAGAGGTAGAGTAGGGGCGAGAAGGGACAGAGACTGCCAGGGCGGCCATCAGAGGCCTGGCGTGGCTTCCACCTCTGCCACTTCCTCCCTCTTCAGTGCCCCTGCTCCCCCAGATCCCAACAAGCCACCTCCAGCCACTTCCCACCCTCCCCTCACCCACTGCTTCTCCACGTGGAGTCCATCTTCGAAAACACAGAGCGCATCCCGTGCAGACCTTCTCAGAAACCTCCTGTGACTTGTCATGCACCCTTCCACCCACGCTCCTTGTTCTGCTCCCTCTGTTCTGCGCGGCTTAGCCCCACCCAGCTCACCTGCCACTTTTATTCTCAGCCTTTGCAGCTAACATGAGCATTTGCCACCACTCGCAGGGTCCTGGCCTGAATCGTCTCCTTCCTGTCCTTTCATATTCCTAAGTGCTTCCCCTGCAAAGTCAAACCTTCCCGTGCCCGGGTGGCTCAGTTGGTTAAGCGTCTGCCTTCAGCTCAGGTCACGATCCCAGGGTCCTGGGATCGAGTCCCGCATCGGGCTCCCTGCTCAGTGGGGAGTCTGCTTCTCCCTCTGCCTCTGCCCCTCCTCCCCACTCGTGCTTTTTCTCACTATCTCTCTCTCCGAATAAATAAATAAAATCTTAAAAAAAAAAAAGTCAAACCTTCCACGAGGTGGTAGCAAGCCCCCCCGGGTGGCATCGACAGCCCCTTTCTCTGCCTTCCATGTCTTATGCTGAATCGGGTATTTAATGCACTGTTGCATCGTGTGTGTGCCTTTGTCCCCATTTATTTAGGCTGTACTTTAGTACACAGTAAGTATTTCGACTCACACTTTGATCTCTTCCCCAGCCCCCTGGGCCATGCTCCACACACAGCATTGCATCCAGCCAGTGCGTTGGAATGGGTAGATGGATGAATATACAAAACTAGCCACTTTGGGAGTAATAGCTACTTAACAACCATTCTAACTACCATTATGAGTATTGTAAAAGGATTTTATGAAAGTCTCAGTAAGTTCAGCTCTTGTCATATCTTTGGGCGTAGCTTATATTTGGACCCAAATAGATGAAGTCATATCTTTCAGAGATTTAACTTAAAGCCCCAGATACTACATATTAGCCTTGTTTATGCACAGGAGATTTAAGTGATCAAAACTAGTTTTAAGGACCAGAATTAGTGCTATCCTGAAACTGCTCTTTTCTTTATGCCAGAAATGCGTACAAAAAGGCTATGTGTGTATTAATATGCAATTTATATTACACCCTTCATCATGAAAGATTAAATTGGTGGAGATTAATGTGTTATTTTATTTTTGTATTCACGTCATTGGGACAAACAAATGACAGGATAGAAATCACTTGTTTTGGAAGTTCTCATCCTATTATTATTACTTTGGAGAGCACATCGTATCTATTTAACCTTATTTTTTAAAGAAACCTGTTCAGTTAGTGTTTTGGGCATCCACGGATACAGAAACTCTTTTCCAAACCTTCATTTCAGTCTTCCCTAGTTTGTCAGACCTAGAAATTCAGTTCTAAGTGATGAAGTAACAAACACAGGCAAAGTTACTGTAACTTCATAGTTAACAGCGACTCTGACCACAGAAACTCTCATGGACTTAAGCTGACAAATATGCCAGGTGCAAGGGACAATAGCCATCAAATTACAAAAGAAAAATTTTAATGCAGTTATGACGTTTTCTTAAAAATCTCTCTACCTTAATTCAGATTGCTGAGGTCTGGAATCATCCCATTACTCCTTAATAAAAATATTTTAAAGTGGGGCGCCTGGGTGGCTCAGTCGGTTAAGCAACTGCCTTCGGCTCAGGTCATGATCCTGGAGTCCCGGGATCGAGTCCCCCATCGGGCTCCCTGCTCAGCGAGGAGCCTGCTTCTCCCTCTGACCCTCCCCCTTCTCATGTACTCTCTCTCATTCTCACTCTCTCAAATAAATAAATAAACCTTAAAAAAATATATATATTTTAAAGTATTTTTATTAAGGGGCGCCTGGGTGGCTCAGTTGGTTAAGCGGCTGCCTTTGGCTCGGGTCGTGATCCCAGGGTCCTGGGAGCCTGCTTCTGCATCTGCCCCTCCCCCCCCACTTGTCCTCGCTCTCTCTCTCTCAAATAAGTAAAATCTTTTTTAAAAAAGTATTTTTATTAAGTATCAGAATGATACAAAATAATAACAATAAAATATGTGTAAGGCATAAAGAACAACAGTGCAGCTGGATGTCAACCTTCCAGTTTAAGGAAAAGAAAATTATTATTACCATTGAAATTTCATATCGTGAAACGTAATGAAATGTATCACTGATACGACTGATTTGGTTGTTTCTCTTGAGTCTCCCTGGATAGACCCAGACTTTTGCTTTTCTAATCTAGTTATTTATTTCATATATACTTGAGGGTCCTAAACACTAGCATCTTCTCTTTCCTCCGTGCTCGTCTTCCTAACCAGCGTGGAAAGAAGAGACCCGCTGGCTGCCTTGGCCCGGGAATATGGTGGATCCAAGCGCAATGCTCTCCTGAAATGGTGCCAGAAGAAGACAGAAGGCTACGCGGTAAGCGACAGCGTCGGCCAACCTCCAGCCAGCCCTGGGCAGCCACAGTCCTGTGCCCGTATTGGTCCTGTGCATGCGTATGTTGGCGTATAATTGTTGTCCTTCTGTTCTCCTAGGGAGGGCTGCCAGTGGTAGTAGGGTTTGCTGTGGTGCCCAGACGAAGAGGCAAGTGGGACTGAAAGCCAGTCCACCCAACAAACCATGTACCCGAATGCAGGTCCGCGTCTCCTGCAGGAAGGACCAGCTTTTTCTTGGCTCAGAGGAGCTATGAACTCCGCAAGCATTGAGCCCAGCAGGCTGCTTCAGTCCAGGGAAGGCAGCTTTTGCTGAACCACCTTCCCGAAGAGGGTGCCTTTCCCTAATTGACACAAAGGCCCCACGTAGGTGGCCCTTCAAAAGTGTCCTGTTACTTTAGAGCTGTTTGCATTTAAAGTATCAGTTTATCAGGACAGTAGTCATCTTCTGGGAAGGTCACACGAGGAAGTAGTACTTGATAGAAGTGTAAGCTTTGTTATTATGAAGTATCATCTAGAAAGACAAAAATTCATCAAATATAAATTATAGTTTTATGGATTGTAATGAAGTGAAAACCCAGGCCGTCCCTATGCCCATCCAGAAATAGAGCATTGTCGGGGCGCCTTGGTGGCTCAGTTGGTTAAGCGACTGCCTTCGGCTCAGGTCGTGATCCTGGAGTCCCTGGATCGAGTCCCGCATCGGGCTCCCTGCTCGGTGGGGAGTCTGCTTCTCCCTCTGACCCTCCCGACCCTCCCCCCTCTCATGCTCTCTCTCTCTCTCAGTCTCTCTCTAATAAATAAATAAATAAATAAATAAAATCTTTAAAAAAAAAAAAGAGAGCATTGTCAATTTCCCCAAACCTTCCGTGTGACTTTTTGATCCTACCCCCTTCCCACTCCCAAAGACAACTGTTGTCCTCAATTCTTTTCCTCGTGGTTTTCCACAAAAAGCAGGCATCCCGGAATGCTCTGTTAGTTTTGCCTGCACTGGAACTTTCCATAAATGCAATCAAAAACTGTCCTATCTGCATCCAGCTTTCTCCTACGGTGTGAAGTCATCAAGGCTTATCCAGTTCGTTCATTTTCTAACCCCTTTGGAACCTATTATGTGATCACACCTATTATCTATTTACCCCTTCCATTCTTGCCGGACAGATGAGTTATTTCCAGGTCGGGGCTCTAGTTACGTGGTGCTGGTACGTTCTTGGGCGTGTCTCTCGGAACACGGGTGTGCTCATTCTTTCTGGATCTACACCTAGAAATGGAATTACTGGCCCATCGGGTGTGCCTATATTCAAGTATGGTAGATAGTGCCAAACAGATTTCTGAAACAGTTGTACAGTTTACCTCCCCCCAGCAAGTGAGGAGAGATCATCTCTCTGCATTTTCACTGAGAGCACCAGTCTTGGTACTCCCGGTCTTGGGATAAGTGTGTAGTGGTATCTCATTGTGGTTGGGATCTGCACTTCTCTGCTGGCTGATGAGGCCGAGAACTTTTCCACATGCTAACTGGACATCTGGGTAATCTCTTTGGGGATGTGCCCTCCCTGTCTGTTGCCCATCTTAAAATCAGATTGTCTGTCTTTCCCCTCTTGCTTTCAGGAGCTCTTGGTATATTCTGGGTACCAGTCCTTTGTCAGATAGAAGTATTACGAATATCTGCCCCCAGGGTGGCTTGAATTTTCGCTTTTTTGTGGAACAAAGTCTTTCATTTTAATAAAGTCTCATTTATCCGTCTTTTCCCGGTGATTAGTGCTTTTTGCGTCCTGTTTCAGAAATCTTTGTCTGCTCCAAGGACACAAAAATGTTCTCCGGTGTTTTCTTCTGTAAGGTGGACTGTGTTCCCTTTCCCATTAAATAGCCATCCTCTTTAAAATTGCCATCTCCAGTGTGCCTGACTGGCTCAGTCAGGGGAGCATGTGACTCTTGATCATGGGGTCATGAGTTCGAGCCCCACTCTGGGTGCAGAGATTACTTAAGTAAATAAGTAAATAAATAAATAAATTTTAAATACTAAAAATAAAATAAAATTGCCATCTCCTCCCTTCTCCCCACTCAGACCCTGCATTCCCATACGTTTACCCCACTTTTCTAAAGATTCTGAAGATTCTGGCACCCCAGCACTCCTTCCCCAACCATAAGCTTTGAGGGGGGGCGGGGACAGAGAAAGAAAGAACCGAGCAAGAAAACAAGGCCTCGGCCAGGAGCAGCCCTGATACTTGAGCAGCAGCGGGGCTGGGATTATCTTTGTAATAGCAGGAGTCAAGGGTCTTAAAATCAGATTCTACCCAAGAATAGAAGTGTTTTGTGTCTTTGACATTACCTTTTTTTTTTTCCCGGTTCCTGCTAAAAAAGAAAAAAATTAATCGGGTTAATGGCCCATAAGAGAGACTCCCAGAAGACGAGCTTTGTTTCTGATGCATTGTTTTCTCCTTTAGCTGCTCTGTGCGCTCTCTGCTTCAGCCCACTCTGAGCGTCGAAACCACCCCATAAAGGCAGGCCACCCCAACGAGGGCATCCCTCGGCTCAATCCCACCACCCTGAAAGCATGACCTGAGCTGAAATCAAGAGTCAGACACTCCCCACGCTGCTGAGGAAATGGAAAAGCTTAAGGAGTTGGGGAGAGAAAGCTGATTCTGGGAGGCTTTAGGGTAAGGGAAGTAGGAGTGGTCACAGAAAACTGAAGCTCAGAAAGGCCAGGAACAAGGTCTTGGCCGTGGCTGAGCCACACGTGGTCATGGACACTTGACTGAGCTGTCATTTCCCCACCTTACAGAAATGGATCAAGGGAAGTGCAAGATGGACAGGAAAAGACAATTAAAATTTCCAGAAGGAATTGGCCCTTTGCCATGTAGTGTTATTATAATTAGATTGCAGGGAGGGATTACACAATCAGCTATTTCCCATCATCAGAGCGAGAATTATATTTCCTGCTGTAGTGATTTTTTGTTTTGTTTTGTTTTATTTTGTGAACATCTTGAACTAGTTTTCAAAGCATTTTACACTTGATGAAACCCAAAACTCATTCTGCCTGAAGGGTATTTTTCATTCGTTGTTAAATCTCTGTAAATTTAGAGGGAAACATAAATCATATGTGTCTAATTTATTTACTCCTCACAAAATATCCTCTGTCTAGACCTGTTTGTCTGAGACGCCTCCTAAGCCTTCTGAAGCTTGTTCTTTCCGACCCAGGAAGCCAAAAATAAATTGTAGAAAACTCAGACAGCTCAGTTAAAAAAAAAAAAAAAAGGCCGGTAGCCATGTGCATTTTCACTTGAAAGAACTTTCTTTTTAGCCCACCAAAGTATAGCATGATAGGTTCTGTCAAAACTCTCCATATAGGGGCGCCTGGGTGGCTCAGTCGTTAAGCGTCTGCCTTCGGCTCAGGTCGTGATCCTCCAGTCCCGGGATCGAGTCCCGCATCGGGCTCCCTGCTCGGCAGGGAGTCTGCTTCTCCCTCTGACCCTCCCCCCTCTCATGTGCTCTCTCTCATTCTCTCTCTCTCAAATAAATAAATAAAATCTTAAAAAAAAAAAAAAAGAATCTTTAAAAAAAAAAAACTCTCCATATATTAATTCAGTGAATTTTTATGGAGGGGCCTGTTTGGTGCCATGTTATATTTTAGGTTCTGGGAAATCAGCAGTGAACGAAGCAGGCAGAATCTCCGCTCTCGTGGAGCTTCCATCTTCACGGGGACTAGACGATTCAAATTAAAAAGTAAAATACGGGCGCCTGGGTGGCTCAAATGGTTGGGCGTCTGCCTTCGGCTCAGGTCATGATCCCAGGGTCCTGGGATCGAGTCCCGCTTCGGGCTGCCTGCTCCTTGGGAGCCTGCTTCTCCCTCTGCCTTTCTCTCTCACTCTGTCTCTCATGAATTAAAAAAAAAAAAAAAAATCTAAAAAGTAAAATACGTACTATATTAGAGTGTACTGTGGAGAAAAGTCGGGGTGGGAGGCTTAGGAGTGCTGGGTGTGTGAACACCACTGTCATACGAAGGTCAGGGAGGTGACATTCGAGCAGCGGCTCAGCTTCCCTGAGGAAGGGAAAGAAGACTTGCCTCTTCTCATCAGGGTTTATCCCACGCCAGGTACTAAACTTGGAAGGTCGGAATGAGGACATCATCACTCTAGCAACTGCATCAGTTGGAATTTAAGTAACATGGGGTGGCAGCTCTGAAAACGTAGAACAGGGGGTCAGACCCACTGCTGAGCCCCAGGTTCAGCTTCGGGTGTCTTGAGGTAGCCCCAGGACTGAGATCCAGGAACACGAACACGCACTCACTCCAGAGTGAGGCCCGCACTGGGCTTGAAGTGGCTCTCAGCAAAGAGGAGACCTTTCTAGACATTCTACTCAACTCACATTTCCTTGGATTTTTTTTTTTTTAAGTCAGGCTTCCAGGAAGGCCTTGCAAATTACTCTCAGTCTGCAGGCTGCCTGTTAACTATATCCCGAGCCAAGGTTAGATCGGACCCATGGAACCCTACGTCTCCCTTTTTAAATTTGCCTTTAATTCCTTCTTTGGGGTTATGACAGAAATTTGCATCTCTCATGTAATTACCAGAAAGGGTTCTCAAGGGAGCCGGGAGGCAAGATGGTGGATGTGATAGGCAGAATTCTAAGAATGACCCCCAGTAACCCTCACCCTTAAATAATCTCCTCCTTACATATGGCAAAAGGGAGGTGATCTGGGTAGAGCTAACACATGAACCCTTTAAAAGCCGGAATTTCCTCTGAAGCATCATAAGGACTCAGTGCACCATTCGTGGGCTTGAAGGTGAAGGGGGCCCATCAGGAGCCGAGAGAGGTCCCTGGCTGATAACCAGCAAGGAAACCAGGACTGTCTAGCACTAAGGCGTTGGGAGTGCTGAAGTCCTACCAATACCCAGAAAACACTATGGGGGGGCGCCCGCAGTTGTGAAGTCAACCAGTTTGGCGCTGGGGTGTCCTCTGTCATTTCTCTTCCTGTCCTGAAGCCCTCAGACCTCA